TGGTGTCGCTCGGAGGTGGAAGTGGAGGTGGAGTCGCGGCGACGCCCAGGATTCAGTGCTTCTCGTTCGTACGAATCGTCGGACGCAGAGGGGAGAAGCCGGGATAGCAGGTTGGAGGCCATCATGGTCGATCCACTGGAATGCGCTCAGCTATCGGCGGGGCGCGTGGGCGGGGGACCGTGGTGTCAGAGGACTGAAGATGTGATCCCCAGAAGTTGAGACGAGCCTCCATGAGCACTGACGTAATCCTAGTCAGTGGTCATTTCAGCGTGATAGTGTCGGAGTGGTGAACCAGCTATCATGAGGCGCCTCTTTGACGCATGATGCAGGTGACGCGCCCGATATCGATAAGCTCGGCTAAACTTGCCCTGGTCTGCCCCATGTGTACACCGAACCGCTCAATGTCACGACACCCCCTCATAACATGTCGGCGAGCTACCTTCAAGAGCGAGGAACACCCGCGTCTCAGAATGGCATTTCAGCACCCGTGTCTCGAGGTGCCAATGCCCTTTCCAGTCGCATCGCAAGTGTTCTCTCTGCTTCCTACGCAGACCTTGACATCCGCGATGCTCTGGAGACACTGGACGACCGCGGCATCCAGAACACAGCAGAGACTCGACGACAGCTACGACTAGATGTCCAGAAAGACGTCATACAATGCAATGGCGAGATCGTCCGGGATTTCGGACTAGTTGCCGAGGTTCGTCAGAAGATGAAGCTCAAGAAGCTGCATACTGACTCTTAGTAGCAGCTGAAGCGGATTGGGACGGCCATTAGCAGCTTGAACAGCTATTGCGCTGACATGCGGGGCCATATTTCAGCTGCAAACCAAGAAACCGGACCCGTCTTGGAAGAGGCAACAAGTCTCATTAGCCAAAGGAAGCAGGTCGAAAACAGGCAGCAGATCCTGCATGCATTCAGCTCTCATTTCTTGGTCTCCGATGAAGAATCCACCGTATTGACTTCAACCGTCGAGCCCGTAAACGAGGAGTTCTTCCAAGTCTTAACACGCGTGAAGAAGATACACCACGACTGCCAGGTGCTACTTGGAACCGAAGACCAGCGACTGGGACTGGAAGTGCTGGAACAAAGCTCCAAGCAACTCAATGCCGCTTTTCAAAAGCTGTACAGATGGATCCAGCGCGAATTCAAGACGCTGGATCTAGAGAACCCGCAAATTAGCGCATCCGTGAGACGCTCTTTACGTGTACTAGCTGAACGACCAACTCTGTTCCAAAGTTGCCTTGACTCGTTTGCAGAATCACGGGAGTCTATTCTATCCGACTCGTTTCATGCCGCTTTGACTGGATCCGCCTCCGAAGAGCACATAGCCACCAAGCCAATCGAGTTTCATGCCCATGACCCGCTACGCTATGTCGGAGACATGTTGGCTTGGGCTCATTCAACTACCGTATCTGAGAGAGAAGCGCTTGAGAATCTTTTCATCTCGGATGGAGACGAAATCAGGCGTTCCATCCAGGCTGGCCTCGAAAGCGAGCCGTGGTTAAGAGGCGATGAGGATACTGACGTCTTCGACGGAAGAAAGGCTCTGAACCAGCTAGTCAGTCGTGATCTCACGGGTGTGGCTCGTCTGTTGCGGCAACGAACCGAGCAAGTTGTTCAGAGTCATGAGGATGCGACTCTTGCCTACAAGGTTGCAAATCTCATCGGCTTCTACAAAGGAACATTTGCCAAGCTGCTTGGTGCAGACTCTGAAGTACTGGACGTCTTCGATACGCTGGAGGCTTCGGCGATGCGACAATTCCGCGCTAACATGAGGGACTACGTTGCCAATGTGCAAAGCGATATCGCTGTTGCACCCGCCGACCTATCACCCCCTGAGTTCCTCGAGGAGGCACTCCAGATGCTCAGAGTGCTTGCGAAAAGCTACGACACATCGGTTGCTGCAACGGACGACAATGGCCAAGGCTTCCAGCCTGTACTCGCGGAGGCTCTGGATCCCTTCTTAAGCGGGTGCGAGAACCTGCAGAAGGGGATGGAAAAACCTGACAACGCCATCTTCGCCCTCAACTGCCTTTTTGCCGTGAAAGAAGTACTCTCACAGTATACCTTTGCCAGTGAGCGAGTCAGCGAGATAGACGACACGATCGAGGAGAATGTCGCAAATTTGACTGAGTATCAACATCAATACCTCATCCACGAGTCCGGTCTCAACACTCTTCTTGAGGCGCTTTCGACTAATACTAACTCTGCGGAAAGTCTCAAGACGATCCCGGAACTCGAAGCGTTCAAGCCCGATGCACTTGTAGCAGCTAGTCAGCAGCTCGACGAGTTCTTACCGTCAGCTCTCATAGACGCATCCGAAAATCTCAAGCGGCTGCGCAATAGGAAGATGATACAGGATATCACGGAAGAAGCGGCTGACAAGTTTTGCGAGGATTTTGAGATTGTAGAGGGCAAGATGATGGCGGCTGATGATTTGACATATGATGAGGACAAGGAGGATGAAGACCAAGAGCCTGGTTTGAGGGATCTATTTCCGAGGACCAGTGGGGAGATCAGGGTGCTGCTCAGCTAGGTCGATATTCAATGAGATTGAAATATGTGCAGATGCTCGTATATGTTCCGGAGTCTTATACCTCTTTCCACCCACTATGTCCGCTTTCTCATGCTCGTGACTCATGGTTCTTATTTCTTCGTAGATGAACCCTCTTTCCCCCGGAGGCCTCGAGAAATTCGTCTAAAAGAACTTCCTCGTAGTACCATCGTTATCGTGAATGCATAGTCGCCAGAGAAGGTGACTTCAGGGCCAAGTGGTGTAAGCCTTGGTTACTGTGGCTTCTTCTTCTCCCACTCTTCCGGCGTATGGCACTTGGGCGTCCAGGCGTGTATCGCCGCGATCTCCTCTTTCAGGGTGCTGTTAACTAGCCGGTGCCGTGCTAGAGTCGTCTTTTTGGCGAACTGTGGTGATACGATGATGGCTTCGTACATTTGTCCGCATCCACCTGTATCCGATATCAGCAGCACTCGTTTTATAGCCAAGGGAAATATTGAATCAAATAATCACATACCGCTCAAATCCTCAATCTCCACATGTGTTGCCCCCAAGCCCTCCTCCAACTTCCTTTTCAGTACCTTCATGGTAACGCCGGAAGTAGCCTGTACCCGCGTCGCTTCGTCATCGGACCTTGCACTCATCGTGTCTGTCGTTTCGGGGTCAAGTGCAAGTCTGTCGAGTGTCTTGTAGAGTTTGTGACGAGGATTCATCAGCGATGCCGATATTCTGGTTCCAATCTTCGGATCTGATTAGATGCGATTCCCGAACGGGCAAGGGTCGAGTTTTGAGCGAGGAAGGAACGCGCGGGGCAACAACGTGCGCGTCTGTGCTTCGACGGGAAAGTAAAGATACAGGGTCGACCGGCGCGTGGAAATGTACGACGCGTCAAAAGGAAGCTTCCTCTGCGACTGATTTTTGTCTTGCATGTTTGCGCCTACGTTACGACGATTCGCAGTAATGAGCGCGACTACTATATCAGCTCCGTTTTCGCAAGCGGTTGTGAGGGCGATGCGGAAGCTGTGAGTTTACTGTTCTGAAGATGGTGGTCTTGCAGCGTTGCAGCTGTTCGGTACTGACAATTCGAAAGATACCCGCAAGCCCTCGCAGACAGCTCCTGGGATAACACTGGCCTGCTTCTAGAAGCGCCATTCGTCCCGTCCCGTCGCCAGTCAAACACAGTCCTCCTCACCATTGACCTTACCAAAGCTGTCGCCGATGAAGCGATCGCGCTTAATTCGTCCATTATCGTCGCATACCATCCCATTATATTCAGGGGCTTGAAGGCGCTCACGTTGGCGAACTCGCAACAACAGACATTGCTGCGGCTTGCTAGTCATGGCATCAGCGTATACAGCCCACACACAGCCATCGATGCCGCACCAGGAGGGCTCGGAGACTGGCTAGCAGATATTGTCACAGGCACAAGGTCCAGCGACGACTATGCCGATTCAGATTTGCAATCAGAATCACAAGCCAGCACGAAGGGACAAAGTGACGAGGACCCATTCCTCACAGTGAAGCGTCCGACATACACCCTGAACCATCACCCCAGCCAAACCACGCTCCGCCTCGCGAAACTTCCCTCCACAACCGTAAATACGACCACGGTGCCACACGCGCGACGCCCTATTATCCCACATTCGCCCGAACTCGCATCGCACCCCGGCGCAGGCATGGGCCGCATCGTGCAGTTCAACAAGCCGCAGCCGCTTCCCATACTACTCGACCGCATAGGCAAGGGGCTCAACAACCCTAAGGGCTTCCCAATCGCGATCCCACAAAATGCCACCCTCTCCGACATAAGCATACAAAGTGTGGGTATCTGTGCAGGCTCAGGCGGATCGCTGCTCGGCAACCTGGACGTCGATTTACTGTTTACAGGGGAGATGACGCATCATGAGGCGCTTGCGGCGATTGAGAAGGGACAAGTGGTCATCAGTCTGTTCCATAGCAACTCCGAGCGCGGCTTCTTGGCCGAAGTGCTGAGAGTGCAGCTGGAGGAGACGGTACAGGAAGAGTGGGCAAAGGTCAGAGAAGAGGAGAAGGATAATAAGGAGTTCAAGGAGGCGCTGGCGGAGGTTGATTTTGAGGTTGAGGTTAGTGAGGTGGACAGGGATCCTTATGGCATTGTGGTGTTGAAGAATGATGTCGAGTAGGCGTGGAGAGTACAGCGTTCAGGTAGATCGACACCAAGGACAGCGAATATCCACGAATTGACACGGCGGTGTTGCTGCAAGAATCCATAGAAGCGGAAAACTCTCGGGGCCTGCAGATAACCTGCTCGCAATCCCTACCGCCCCACCACATTATCTCACATAAAGCAAACCCGCCTTATTAGCCGACCCACAACCAAATTTCACACCAAACCAAATCATTCCTACATTTATCGTTCCTATTTACCAAGATTAATAACGATGTAATACAGGCTTCACTCATCGACAACTCAAAACCGTGGCGTTATTTACCGTCAGCATCGAATATATCCTCCGTGGCGCAATTGGCTAGCGCGTTCGACTGTTACTTGTTAGCACATCGAGAGGTTGAAAGTTCGAGCCTTTCCGGGGGAGTTTCTTCTTTTTGTTTGTTTCATGACTTGTGCACTGTGCGTTGTCCATTTTTTTTGGAAGGGGGGAGGGGGGTTTTGATAATCACATTCAGAACTCAATGTTCTGCGGCTGTGTGATTATTTTAGTGCTTAGGAAGGGGGGGTTTTCAAGTAGGTTTGGTGGGTGGAGTGTGGGTGTCTTCACAAAAGGCACTGCCGCGTGACTTGTTGTGGACTGCTTGAGGTAAAGTAAGATAAAGTACGGTCAAGTCCTTTTCGTGGTAACTATCGCAAGCTGTGTTCTTTTGTGTGGGCAACCGTGTATTAGATCTTTGACATTTCATCATGCGTTGATGTTCCGTCTCATCTTGCTTGTTCAACAGGTGCAGCAAATCACTATGCTTAATCGCACATCTGGACCATTGCACTTCAAGCAGTGTTATTCGGGTATGTAAACGTAAAACTTGATGTGTAATGCACTTTCGCTACGAAGACCAACACAAAAGTGACTTCAGCATCGTGCGTCAACCCGGATAAAAACACACTGTTTCGATATAGTATCGTAGAGGTTAAAGTCACTCAGTGTCCTCAAACACATCTCTTCCAACCTCACCTGAATGAGAACGCGTTCTGTATTCTCCAACTGACTCACGCCAACCTCCGGGTTCCCACTTGGTGAGCGCAGCTCCGGACCCAAAGAAGGCATAACCCTACTCAACAAGCTCCGTCTCGCCTGCCGCGTCGGCAGCTGCTCATTATTACTCTTCTTCTCCACGCCGTCGTTTGGACTACTCGTTCTCAGAAGCGGATTCGCATTCAAACTCTCCCCCAACAACCTCTCCAACTCTACAACCACAGTGTGTGATCTCCAGAACTCGGTAGAGTTCAACTGACCCTCCAACCTCACGAGGGTGGGCTCTTCGTCGGATGATGAAAAGCCAATCACCTCTACGGGCTTGGGTTTGCTACTGTCGAAGCTTTTGTACTCTGACTTCTCTGGGGCGACGGGTAGAGTGATGTCCGAGGGTAGCAAGGCGATTGTTGTTTGTGCAATGCCGTACGTGGCGCGTTGTTCGATGAGCGGGATGATGTGTGTTTCGATTATGGAGTGGATGTGGTGTGTGCGTGTGAGGGCTACTTGTTCAAGGAGTGTTTGGCCGCGTGAGGAGGGCATTGTGCTCCATTGGTGCTGTGGGGAAGTGTACTCTGAGTACGGTGGTGGAAGGCTGTGTTTTTCGTTTTGTGACATTGTGGTGTTGGAGACGTGTTGAGAATTCCACGAGAACTTGGAGATGTACCCACTAGGGTGGAAGCTCTTGGATGTAGCGTAGTACGCCTGGGGAACTACGATTATCGTAGGCCTCGTTGAGAATGGAGTTGAGGTATTTTTCTGCGTCTAACGGATATTTTCAAGGTCCTATTGATTATCGTAACCAAACTCAAGTTTCTCGAACCAGTGGCGGGCTGCGGAAGAGTCATCAGCAGTTCTTTTCGGATCACGGCACCTGGCAAGACCGATACTCGGGGTAGGGAAACGTTCGAGAAGTCTGCCTCGTACTACTGAGGCCATAACTAGCTCTAAAGATGTATGTGCGTTATTTCGTGATCGTCTGAGCCTTGGGTGCGAGAATACATAAGCTTGGAAGTGCATTGCCTCAGGGATGTAAGCCAATAGCGAGGGTGTCAACATAAGGTCACGAGGCAGCCCGGGCCGAATTGCTTGGCACAATGAAGAAGATATCGCGCAGATGGTGCGACAAAGAGATAGGCATTTATGTAATAGGCTTAGGGTGGAGGCTGTAAGGTATTAGTCCTTCCTGCCTGTTGCTTCGATTTTTCCTAACAAATGCCTCATCGGGCCTTCTCTTCGACGGGAATAAGCGACCGTAAGCTGCGCAGCTCGACCATCGACGCTTCGGTTCACCGAACATGTGGCCCACCTTTTAGAGGAACAATGCTTCGACACTGCGAAACATTACATGCAGGTGGCAGTGGTGGCGCAAGGCTGACTTCGAGGTTCTGATATTCCAAGGTTCCACCGCCATGCCTCTCATGGCTTAGCAAATGGTTTATCCACTCATCCCAGCATCACAACACGAATGCGCTCACCGGCATTAACACCTTCGACAAAGGAACTGTCAGTGCATAGTCTTCGAGTGACAATTCCGTGACTTACACACGACAAAGCAAAGTAATCGTCCAATAGGCCAGTATATAAAAGAGACAAGGTAGCGCTCATATTACCTCACTTGCTTGAGCCATCATCACGAGAGCCTCAATCTTCGTACGGTCCCTGTACCTTTCGTTCATGTTAAACAAGCTCTCCCTCTTTCCATATAAAGATCTCTACGCCCAATCTCAAACACACCATCAACGACCGCTGAGTAGCAAACATCAACTTCGCTAGCCCTCATCACTATCATAACACCAGTCGAACAGTATATACGCCGACAGCATACATGTCAACAAGCGAGCTGGCTCGCTCAACTCAGCTCAGCTCGGTCGGCTTGATCTATCCCAGTGAGCTGAGCTGATAGGGCGAGCTTGCAAGCCAAGCTGAGCTCAGGCAGTGAACTCGCTCAGTACAGCTTGCTCGGCTTGGTTGGATGGGGCGTGTGCAAAGTTGAGACTGGAGGTTTTAGTGAGGGGGCAGTATACAGGCCAGTTTCTGGTGTTGTGCGTTGGTTCGAATCTCAGGTAGTGCACTACCTTTTGCACTATTTTTAG